CTCTAGGCGTCTGTTCAGGTGGAGGGGTTGGAGTCGAAGTTGTTGGAACTATTGTGGCTGTTGTTGTTGTAGTTGTAGCCGGGGGCGTAATGGGAGCGCCTCTACCACGGCCAACCCCATCATGTCTATGCTTGACCTTTCTCTCCTCATGTTGAAGGTCCCTCGAATGACCTCGGCCATGCCCTGTCGGCGTTAATGGAATCGGGGCTTCTTGGGGAAGAGGAGGATGAGGGGGGATGGAACTTCGAACTTGTTTGTTTGTAGTGGTGGGGCCTGACCCTCGGCCACGTCCGGCGGCCAGGGTTGCTCTTTGTCTGAGATAGTTGAGGTTGATACGTGGTGGATCCAACCTAGCCACCTCAAATGTGTCTTCTTGGTTGAGTTGATGAAGGACGTCAAAATCTGGCCAAGTCTCTTGACCCGATGTACTAGCCTCAGTGTGGACAGTGGTGGATGGATCTTTGATCTCTGCCACTTCGTCGACGATTTCGTCCTAGGCAGCCGCCTCTACTTTGGCTTCGGTGGTTCTGTCGGGGTTTCCCTCCAAGTTCTACTCAACAAACTTTGATTGGTCAAGGTTGTGTGGAGTCTAGGAGAATTTCTGGTACCTCAGGGTGTAATCGAGAAGGAGATGCACAGCTCAACCAAGGCCCTTGTTCCCCAAGTAATTCCAAACAAAGGTGATGTCGCCAATGTTGACCTGATTCTGAGAAAGGGGGTTGTATTCGTGTCAGGGATCCCTGAAATGGCAATAGTACACAATTATCAACTACAAGTTTTATAAGACCAAGTATTGAAGAAATCAAAAGGCAATAAGGATGAGAGGGAAGGGCTGACGTACTTGTAGTTCGCCAATGTTTAGGGCACCACAAGTCGGCAGCATATTCAAGACTGAGTCCCCTTCCCATTGACTGCCGAATATGAGAAGGTCATCTTTGTAACCCTTGTCAAAGTCAGGAAGGTGGGTGACAAGGTACATCGTGGGGTCCTGAGCCTTGAGGTAGTACATCTGCTAAGGCATGATCCCCACCAAGGCGTAGTAGAAGAGGATGTCGTCCAAATCGAGATGCAGGTTCAGTCGCTCATTTAAGGCGACCGCACCCATAATGATCTTGAACGTATTGAGGCAACATTGCCCTGGGAAGAGTCGAAACTAGGACAAGAAACGAAGGAGAAGAGGATAGAGAGGGAATCAGATGTCTCCCTCTATGATAACCTTGGTATAAAAGGGCATCTCATTGTCGGTGCCGACGGTGGCACTGTGACAACCAACCTTAAATTCGTCTACTGTCACCTTAGGGGCCCTGAAGTTGACTATCTACTGTCGGCCCTTAACAGTATACTTCTTAGGCCTTAAGGGGCCAGTCTCTTTGGCCCTAATGATCCTGTTTGGGCGACGCCTTGGCATGTCTCAGAAAGCAAAAAACGGTATTCAAAGGGATATTTTTGAGGTGGGAATCCTAAGGGACACTATAGGAGATGAAACGACAAAAAGAGGAGGCAAAGGAACTACTCTACACTATTAGAATTGAGTAGATGGAGTCTGGAAGGTGAGGAATCGCCAAAAAAACAAAAAGAAAAAAGGGAAACTAAAATTAAAAGACAAGGATTGGAACCAGTATACTCACCAAGGACGAAGACTGCAAGAATGGCAGTGAAGGGTCTCCTTCTCTGTTGATTTCCAAAGAGTGTTCCAACTGGATCAGGCGAGCTATGGCGTCTCCGATGAAGCTCTGGCTGAAATCACTGTAGTTGCTGAGGATGCAAAATTGGAGAAGGTGGGGTTGGGGTCCATTTATATAGGGCCAGTCGCCATCACTGAGCACAAGACATGAAAGGTGGCGCATTTAGTGAAGCACGATCTCCGAAGGTAGGAAAACGACTGGACAACTAAGGAGTGGTTGAGCCCTTTCATCTTCTGACGCCACGTGTCCCACGCTGTACGAAGATCAAGGGCTGGAGGCAGTTGATGGGATGCTTCAGTGAGTTCACAGGGGGTTGACACATATCCTCGGCCTTGAATGAGTCCTAAGTCCAGATGATGACACGCGTCCTCGGTGCTAAGGACACCTTACATTTCTAGTAGAGACATGTGTCCTCGGCACCAAGGGCACCCATCATTCTGATAGAAACATGTGTCCTTGATACCGAAGAACACTCCTGCACCCTATGGCGTGGCCGGACCACCGGAGGATTGCCTATGGACACGTCATTTCGGCCTCCATATGGTTTATTGACGGTTGCAGCTTGTTGACCTTAAATTTCAATAATAAATCATTGACTTGCTTTTCTAAAGAAATCAGGATGGTAAGAGGGACAAGACCAGCAACGAAAAGGGGTTAAACGCATGGCACGATGTGCAGAATTGAGGGGCAAATTGGCAAAAATACCCCCACTAGTCGTAGTCATTCCAGAAGAGCATTTAATGATACTTCAGGAAGAAGGGACGTGCTTGCTGTCCAGGGTGTCTCGGGGTCCCAAGCATTTAATGCTCACTAGCTTCCTACGCAAGGCAGGAGGCGCTTTGCCCAAAGACTGAACATTATCACCTACTACTTCCCAGATAAACCAATGAGGAAATTCCCCCGAAGGGACCCACCTGTCAGTAATGATAACCTCCATAAAGGTATAAATAGTTGTAAAAAACTAAAGACAAAGGTACGTAAATCATTCCCCCTCAACAGAACAGTGCTTTTTCCTTCCCCTCTCTAAAATACTGACTTGACTGTCGGAGGGGATACGCCGAAAAACGCTCCGACGCTTTCTAACTCTCTTTTTTGTGTGACAGTGATCTTTCCCGACTCGTCGGAATCATGCGGACAACTGAAAAAGTAATTCATCACCACTCCTTAGGCCATTTGTGGTGTTCCTTTGCCATGGGTTTGTCGACTTTACAGGTAGTCCTGAGGTCACCAAGGGAGAAAGCTGTCTTTTTGTTTATTGTGCGAAAATCACCGCGCATAGTTTCCATGACTTCTTGAACCTTAAGACCTTCACAGCACAAATAACCATCTTCAGATTTAGTGAAAACGATGCTGAAAGTTCTGGATTTGTGCGTCTGAAGTTGAGGTTTTTGTATGGTTTTGGGACTGTACAGCCCTAAGGTTTAGTGTTCTTGAGCTGGGTTTGAAGAATAAGGAGTGATTTTGAGAAGGGAGTGGAAGAATACGAACAAATGGGTTTGAAGGGCGTTTCAATGATTTTGAGAAGAGCAATTCTCTACGATGTTATTTGCAGACCTTATTTAAAGAGCTAATGATGTTGTTTCAATAGAATTATTGGATTAGTTATGAGTTATAATATTAGATAGAGCTCACAATCAATCATTAATTCCCTAAATAAAGTTCTCAAATAAGGTCCAAATAGCATTTTTGTTTTGAGAAAAGAGTGGAATGAGAGGGAGATGAGGAGCCACCGTTGGGAAAGCAAACATGAAAGGTTGACTGAGAGTCTTTGGGGTTTGAGAAGAACTGCTTGGTTACACAAAAAATGTAGAGTCAAGGGGTTTTAGTTTTGTCGATGGGATTAGGGGCGGCTCATCTACTTAATGGGACGGCGTCGTTTTGTTGTTATTTTGCACAGTGAACAGATTTGTTCATTTTTCATACCCCTCAAAACTCTTTCCAAGTTCACGTCTCCTGCAAATCTGAAGATGAGTCTTTGTGTTGTGAAGGTCAAGGTTCAAGATGTCATGGAAACTGTTGAAAGAAGACCGTTTTATCTGTAAAAGAACTCCCAAATCACAAGAAATTTTGAGGCTTATAGGGAGGCTTTGGAGGCTTGAATTCGATAATCAGGTACATGATTAAAACTAATAATAATATGAAGATTTTAGAGAATTTAAGGAAGTTGGGTTATGGCGTTATGTTGGTTAGTGGTAATGACCTTAGATTGGCCCATCGTGCTGCGTTCAATCCCACTAGGTATGCATGTATTGTGTTTGTTTTTAATCTGCTATGAAGAGAGAACAAAATTGAGTTATGTCTTCAAACAAGACTATCATTAATGGAATCAAGAAGAGGTTAAAAAAGGCAAAGAAAAAGTGGATGGATGAGCTCCTGAACGTTCTTTGGGCATACAAGACCACTCCTCGGTCCTCGACGGGAGAAACACCTTACGCCCTCGCATATGGAGTGGAGGCAGTCATTCCATTGGAGGTAGGCCTCCTTGCCATAAGAACACAAGCTTTCGACGTCGAGGATAACGATCGCCAACTTTGCTTGGATATGGATATCGTGGAGGAAGAAGAGAAGTGGCTGCCCTGAAACTTGCCAAGTATCAAGAAGGAGTGTCCAAACTCTACAACAAAAGGGTTAAGCCCCAAGAGTTCCAGGTGGGCGACTTAGTGCTCAGGAGAGTAGTGGGAAATACCGGGATCCAATGAATGGGAAGATGAGACCTAATTGGGAAGACCCGTACAAAGTTATGTCAGTAGGGGGCTCTGGATCGTATAAATTAGAAGACATGGAAGAGAATGTTGTAGTTCAACCATGGAATGTAATGAATCTAAAGAAGTATTACTTTTGAGAAGTAAAGAGTCGTTTTTGCTTAAAGACTCATTTTCGTGCTAAGTGTATTGTTTGGGAAGGGGCATGGCCCCGGGGGCAGAGTCTTAGAGACTCTTGCCTCCAAATAGACATAGGAGCATGATTCTTGGAAGGGGAATTGCAGAGTCGTAGAGACTCTTGCCTCCAAATAGACATAGGGGCATGACTCCTAGAAGAGGAATGACCCCGGGGGTATAGTTTTAGAAACTCTTGCCTCCAAATAGGCACAGAAGCGTGCCTTCTGGAAGGGGCATGACCCCGGGGGCAGGGTCCTAGAGACTCTTGCCTCTAAATAGAAACAGGAGTATGGCCTAGGAAGCAAAGCTCTTGAACTCATGCCTCTGAAAAGACCTTGGGGCATGGCCTCTGAGAGGAAAATGACCCCCGACAAGAAACACTTGCAAATTTTATGCAAGAAGGATGGGACAAACGGAGGTTTCAGCGACCTTGGCATTACCCATACGTGCCCTCGACGTCAACATCCCTCTTATTCTCTGATGATTGACATGTCTCCTCAGAGCATGATGGGACACTCGGCCTGAGATGCCCTATAGACCAATAAGCTCAAGACACGTGTCCTATGCAAATGTGCCCTCGACGTCATCTACGGGGACATGTCACCTCTGGCAAAGACGAAATATTGGACCAAGAGATCCTGAGGACCTATGAAAATTCGACACGTGTCCTCGGCAAAATATTTCCTCAGTGTTTTTCTTTCCCTACCAAAGAAAGATGAAGCAAAGGGGTAGATCCTTCCCCCAAGATGCCACATTTGACAAAAATTCAGAGTAACAACACAGAAAAAAGAGCGAGGAGAAGAAAGCACACTCTTTTTCTCGAGGGATCTCTCCCCCTCGAAGACTCTTTTCCTGAGTGTTCTCTTCGCCCGAGGACCCTCTTTCCCGAGGTTCTCTTCCTCCCGAGGACACTCTTCCTTCTGAGGGCTCTCTTCTAAGGGGGAATGCCTCGACCCTAAGGCTTGACACTTGGTGCAACGATGTAGAAAATAAGAAAAGTGAGCTAATAAGACTGGAACCAAGAAACAGACAAGCAAAAACAAAAAAGCAAAAGTCAACACGGTGGGGGAAAATTGTTTTTCATTCAAAAGGAGGGCTTTGCATCCCTCAAGCAAACTACAAGAAAGAAAGAAGTTACAAGGTAACATAAAAGGAAGAAAGTTTAATTTTGAGAAGCAGGAGGTGGCCCATCAACCTTGCCACCGATGTTCCCTCTAACATCTCCAAAGAGCTCATCAATACTGGCGGAAAGAGTGTCAGCATTGTTGGGGGGCACCTTAGTAGAAACGACATGGACATTGGCTTGGGGGACCAGAGGAGCAGAGTCAATGGCAAGAACAGGAGCCGAAGTAGGAATAGTGGCAGGAGTCATGTTGGCAGTATCAGCACCTTCAGCTAGATCCCCAATTGCAACTTCTGTTGAAGTTTGCACCATGTCCTCAGAGGGGACATACTTGTGCATCTGGAAGAGTGGGGAGTCGGCAGGGACACCTGCCGCTTGAAGCGCCTCATCCCAGCCTGCCTTGAAGTACTCTCTCTTGTTCTCTTCAAGGGCGATTAGGACATCATCAGCGCATTGGTCGACAATCTCCTAGCTTGATTTTCTATTGGCCTCCATCTCAACCCTCACTCTGTCCAGCTCCTAGGTAAAAGTAGAACAAGTCTGCCCCACCACAACCACCTTTGCCTCGAATGCCGAAAGCTGCTTGGTTGCCTCAGTGATCCTCTTCTCTACATCGGCAACCAAGGCCTTTAATTTATCTACGTTGGCCTTGGCACCCTGGCTCTCCTTTAGGAGCTCGGCAATCTGGGTAGCCTGGATGGATAGGGTCTTGTCTCGGGCAGCAACCTTTTCCTTAGCCAAGGCAAGATCTCCTAGGGACCTTTCCAGATCGACCTTTAAGCTATCGCATTCCTGGATCCTCTCCCTCTAAGAGTGAAAGTGTTCGGCAATGGCCAAGATTTGCTGGGTAGTCTATTGAGAATAAGAAGACAGAAAAAGAGTTACATTGACGGAGAAAGGAAGTGAATAAGGAAAGTAAAAAGCACCAAGTTTCTTACCACTAGCGAACTTTGGATAATAGAGCGAAAGAGTTAGTTGACTGGCCTCCCCCGATGCACTTCCATGTTGGCGTCGAATAACAATGTCTCAATCACGACATAGGTAACATGAGGGGAAGAAATGATGGAATTGGTAACCTAGGTCGGTCTGTTATCACGATCTCGGGCCTGGGGCCTCCACTCTTTAACTCTAGGTGTCTGCTCAGGTGGAGGGGTTAGAGTAGGAAGTTGTTGGAACTATTGTGGTTGTTGTCGTTGTAGTTGTAGCCGGGGGCGTAATGGGAGTGCCTCTACCACTGCTAACCCCATCATGTCTCTACTTGACCTCATATCCTCATGTTGAGGGTCCCTCGAATGACCTCGGCCATGCCTTGTTGGCATCGACAGAATCGGGGCTTCTTGGGAGGAAGAGGAAGAGGAGGAGGGGGGATGGAACTTTGAACTTGTTGGTTCGTAGTGGTGGGGCCTGACCCTCGGCCACGTCCAACGGCCAGGGTTGCTCTTTGTCTGAGATAGCTGAGGTTGATACGTGGTGGATCTGACATAACCACCTCAAGCACGTCTTCTTGGTTGAGTTGATGAAGGACGTCAAAATTCGGCCAAGTCTCTTGACCTGATGTACTCGCCTCGGCATAAACGGTGGTGGATGGATCTCTGATCTCTGCCACTTCGTCGACGATTTTGTCCTCGGCAGCCACCTCTACTTTGACTTTGGTGGCTCTGTCGGGGTCTCCTTCCAAGTTCTGCTCAACAAACTCCGACTGGTCAAGGTTGTGTGGAGTTTGGGAGAATTTTAGGTACCCCGGGGTGTAATCGAGAAGGAGGTGCAGAGCTCGACTAAGACCCCTATTCCCCAAGTAGTTCCAAACGAAGGTGATGTAGTTGATGTTGACCTGATTCTGAGGAAGGGACTGTATTGGCATCAGGGATCCCTGAAACAGCAATAGTACACAATTATCAACTACAAGTGTTATAAGACCAGATATTGAAGAAATCAAAAGGCAACAAGGATGAGAGGGAAGGGCCGACGTACTCGTAGTCCGCTACTGCTTGGGGCACCACAAGTCGGCAACATACTCAGGACCGAGTCCCCTCTCCCATTAACTGCCGAATATGAGAAGGTCATCTTTGTACCCCTTGTCAGAGTCAAGAAGGTGGGTGACAAGGTACATCGTGGGGTCCCGAGCCTTGAGGTAGTACATCTGCTGAGGCATGATCCCCACCAAGGCGTAGCAAAAGAAGATGTCATCCAGATCAAGATGCAGGTTCAGTCACTCATTCAAGACGACCACACCCATAATGATCTTGAACGTATTGAGGCAATATTGCCCCGGAAAGAGTCAAAGCTAGGACAAGAAACGAAGGAAAAGAGGATGGAGAGAGAACTGGATGCCTCCCTCTATGATAGCCTTGGTATAAAAGGGCATCTCATTGTCGGTGCCGATGGTGGCACTGTGACGACCGACCTTAAATTCGTCTACTGTTACCTTAGGGGCTCTGAAGTTGACTATCTGCTATTGGCCCTTAATAGTATACTTCCTAGGCCTTGAGGGGTCAGCCTCTTCAACTTCGACGATCTTGTTTGGGCGATGCCTTGACATATCTTAGAAAGCAAAAAACGGTATTCAAAGGGGTGTTTCTAAGGTGGGAATCCTAAGGGACACTATAGGAGGCAAAACGACGAAAAGAGGAGGGGAAAGAACTACTCTACACTATCAGAACTGAGTAGAGGGAGTCTGGAAGGCGAGGAATCGCCGAAAAAATGAAAAGAAATAAGGGAAACTAAAATTAAAAGACAAGGGTTGGAACCAGTATACTCACCAAGGACGAAGGCTTCAAGAATGGCAGTGAAGGGTTTCCTTCTCTGTTGATTTTTGAAGAGTGTTTCAATTGGTTCAGGCGAGCTATGGCATATCCGATAAAGCTCCGGCTGAAATCACTATAGTCGCTAAGGATGCAAAAGTGGAGAAGGTGGGGATGGGGTCTGTTTATATAGGGCCAGTAGCCATCATTGCTCACAAGACACGAAAGGTGGCGCATTTAGTAAGGCATGATCTTCGAAGGCAGGAAATTGTTGCACAGTTAAGGAATGGTTAAGCCCTTTCATCTTTTGGCGCCACATGTCCCACGCCATACGAAGATTAAGGGCTGGGAGTAGTTGATGAGACGCTTTAGTGAGTTCAAAGGGCTTGACACATGTCCTCGGCCTTGAAGAAGTCCTAAGTCTAGATGACGACATGCGACCTCGGCGCCAATGATACCTTGCATTTCTAGTAGAGACACGTGTCTTCAACACCGAGGGCACCTATCACTCTGATAGAAACACGCGTCCTCGGCGTGGCCAGATCGCCCGAGGACTGCCTATGGACACGTCATCTCGGCCTCCATATGGATTATTGACGGTTGTAGCCTGTTGACCTCAAATTTCAATAATAAATCATTGAATTGCTTTCCCAAAGAAGTCAAGATGGCAGAAGAGACAAGACCAGCGACCAAAAGGGGTTAAATACGTGGCAAGATGTGCAGAATTGGGGGGGGCAAATTGGTAAAAATACCTTTGTTGGCACGCAGTCATTCCAGAGCATTTAATGATCCTTCAGGAAGAAGGGACGTGCTTGCTATCCAAGGTACCTCAGGGTCCCGAGCATTTAATACTCACTAGCTTCCCACGCAAGGCAAGAGGCGCTCTACCTAACGACTGAACACTATCACCTACTACCTCCCAGATGAACCAATGAGGATATTCCTTTGAAGGGACCCACTTGTCAGTAATGATGACCTCCATTAAGGTATAAATAGTTGTAAAAAACTAAAGACAAAGGTACGTAAATCATTCCCCTTCAACAGAACAGTGTTCTTTCCTTACCCTCTCTAAAATACTGATTTGACTGTTAGAGGGGATATGCCGAAAAACATTCTGACGCCCTTCTAACTCTCTTTTTTGAGTGACAGTGATCTTCTCCGACTCGCCAGAATTGTGCGGACAACTGAAAAAGTAATTCATCACCACTCCTTAGGCCATTTCTTGTGTTCCTTTGCTACGAGATCGTTGACTTTCCATGTAATCTCGAGGTCACCAAGGGAGAAAGCTATCTTTTTGTTTATTGTGCGAAAACCACCACGCACAGTTTCCATGGCGTTTTGAACCTTAAGACCTTCACAACACAAATACCCATTTTCAGATTTGGTGAAACAATCCTGAAAGTTCTAGATTTGTGCGTTTGAAGTTGAGGCTTTTGTAGGGTTTTGGGGTAGTACAACTCTGAGGTTTAGCGTTTAGGTTTGAAGTGTAAGGAGTGATTTTGAGAAGGGAGTGGAAGAATACAGACAAATGGATTTGAAGGGCGTTTCAGTAATTTTGAGAAGACCAATGCTCTATGATGTTATTTGTGGACCTTATTTAAGGAGCTAATGATGTAACTTCAATACAATTATTGGATTAGTTGTGAGTTCTAATATTAGATAGAACTCATAATCAATCATTAATTCACTAAATAAAGTTCTCAAATAAGGTCCAAATAGCATTTTCGTTTTGAAAAAAGAGTGGAATGAAAGAGAGATGAGGAGCCACCGTTGGGAAAGCAAACATGAAAGGTTGACTGAGAGTCTTTGGGGTCTGAGAAGAACTGCTTGGTTACACACAAAACGTAGAGTCAAGGGGTTTTAGGTTTTGTCGATGGGATTAGGAGCGACTCCTCTCCTTAATGGGATGACATCGTTTTGTTGTTCTTTTGCATAGTGAACAGATTTGCTCATTTTTCAAACCCCTCAAAACGTTTTCTAAGTTCACTTTTCTTGCAAATCTGAAGATGAGTCTTTGTGCTGTGAACGTCAAGGTTCAAGATGTCATGGAAATTGTCGAAAGAAGACAGTTTTCTCTGCATAAGAAGTCGCAAATCACAAGAAACTTTGAGGTTTATAGGGAGGCTTTGGAGGCTTGAATTCAATAATCAAGTACGCGATTAAAACTAATAATAATCTGAAGATTTTGGAGCATTTGAGGAAGCTGGGTTGCGGCGCTGGGTTGGTCAGTGGTAACGAACTTACATTGGCCCATCGTACCGGGTTCAATCCCACTAGGTATGTATGTATTGTGTTTGTTTTTAAGCTGCTATGAAGAGAGAACAAAATTGAATTTCTTTTTTTCAACATTATTTCCAAGAAACTAATATGAACTTTTGACTTTTTTCTTTCAATAAATACTCAATTTTTTTATGGGAACATGTAAATGTTTTATCTAAAACTTAATAACTTCTGCAATTTGGTATTCTATTATAGCTTTAAGTGTGATCAGACAAGTGAGAGTTCAATACTCTATTCCTTTTAACTTCATACATCAACCTATGGTAGAATAGGTGTATCTTTAATGGAAATGGAAATGGAAAGGCCTTGGAGGATCCGAGCATTTAATGCTCACTAGCTTCTCACGCAAGGCAAGAGGCGCTCTGTCCAAAGATTAAACACTATCACCTACTACCTCCTAGATGAACCAATGAGGATATTCCCCTGAAGGGACCAACCTGTCAGTAATGATGACCTCCATGAAGATATAAATAGTTTTAAAAAACTAAAGACAAAGGTACGTAAATCATTCCCCCTCAACAGAACAGTGCTCTTTCTTTCCCCTCTCTAAAATACTGACTTAACTATCAGAGAGGATACGCCAAAAATACTGCAACGCCCTTTTAACTCTTTTTTTTGAGTGACAGTGATCTTCTCCGACTCGCCAAAATTGTGCGAACAGCTAGAAAAGTAATTCATCACCACTCCTTAGGCCATTTGTGGTGTTCCTTTGCCACGGGATCGTCGACTTTTCAGATAATCCTGAGGTCACCAAGGGAGAAAGCTGTCTTTTTTGTTGTTGTGCAAAAACCACTGCGTACAGTTTCCATAACATCTTGAACCTTAAAACCTTCACAACACAAAATACCCATCTTCAGATTTGGTGAAACAATGTTGAAAGTTCTGGATTTGTGCGTCTGAAGTTGAGGGTTTTGTAGGGTTTTGGGACAGTACAACCCTGAGGTTTAGTGTTCTTGAGCTGGGTTTGAAGAGTAAGGAATGATTTTGAGAAGGGTGTGGAAGAATACGGACAAATGGGTTTGAAGGGCATTTCAATGATTTTGAGAAGAACAATGCTCTATGATGTTATTTGCGGACCTTATTTAAGGAACTAATGATGTGACTTCAATACAAATATTGGATTAGTTGTAAGTTCTAATATTAGATAGAGCTCATAATCAATCATTAATATCGTAAATAAAGTTCTCAAATAAGGTCCAAATAGCATTTTCGTTTTGAGAAAATAGTGGAATGAGAGGGAATGGGGAGCCGCTGTTGGGAAAGCAATCATGAAAGCTTGACTGAGAGTCTTTGGGGTCTGAGAAGAACTGCTTGGTTACACACAAAACGTAGAGTCAAGGGGTTTTAGGTTTTGTTGATGGGATTAGGGGCGGCTCTACTTAATGGGACGACGTCGTTTTGTTGTTCTTTTGCACAGTGAATAGATTTGCTCATTTTTCATACCCTCAAAACTCTTTCCAAGTTCATTTTCTCCTGCAAATATAAAGATGAGTCTTTGTGCTATGAAGGTCAAGGTTCAAGATGTCCTGGAAACTGTCGAAAGAAGATTGTTTTATTTGTACAAGTAGTCCCAAATCACAAGAAACTTTGAGGGTTATAGGCCGGCTTTGCAGGCTTGAATTTGATAATTGGGTATGCAATTAAAACTAATAATAATTTGCAGATTATAGAGCATTTGAGGAAGCTGGACTGTGGCGCTGTGTTGGTCAGTGGTAACAAACTTAGATTGGCCCATCGTGTCGGGTTCAATCCCACTAGGTATGTATGTATTGTGTTTGTTTTTAATTTGCTATGAAGAGAGAACAAAGTTGAATTTCTTAGACAAGAAAGAGTTCAATACTCTATTCCTTTTAACTTCATACAAAAACCTGTGGTAGAACAGGTGTATTTTTAATGGAAATGGAAAGACCTTGGAGGATTTAGTGTTGGCTTCCCAAGAAGGGGTCTTTGTTAATATTGACAACAAATTTGGTTTGGATAATATCGTAGCTACTGCAAGAATTGTAGGGAAGAAAGTTAATGTTCTTCTTCATATCAATCTAGATGTGGATCCTTAGGTGTGTTGCTACCACATCAAATACATGTGATGCAAATAATGTAACCTTATGTGACTTTCCGTTATCTTGATATTAAGAAGGGAAGTTGTTGTGATGGGTCAATTGTTGATAACAAAAGATATGAGAAAAATCTAAGCATTAGTAATCACATTGATAGATAATTTTTGTGTCTCTTGAAGTTATTAATTATGATAGGATCATCTACACTTTCATTATTGCCTTCAGTCATGTTAAATGAGTTAAATTGAAAAAACCACATTAATTTCCCATGGTTTCAAGTATACATCAGCTAATGAGATACCTCGGAAGTGATGTTCTTGGGGGAAAAAATCATGGTGAGCATTGGGCAGCCACAAATCAAGTTCCGTAAATAGAGAATCGGGCTTCGTGCCACTTGCACGAAGATTAGCAAAACATTCAAGTCTCATTAGCTTTGATGGTTAAATTTTCATTGTTTGCTTGTGTATATTAGGTTCATCCTTATGTTGCCACTGGTAACAAGAACTCCAAATTTGGTATCCGAAATGAGAAGCTGCAATGGTTTCTAGATGCTGTGAAGGCATATTCTAATGAATTGAAACTTGTGGGGGCTCATTGCCATCTTTGTTCTACCATTACCAAGGTATTATACAAAAACACTATTTTATACTTTTCATTTTTCCAAAAACACTATTTTATACTTTTCATTTTTCCAATCAACTTTAAAAAAATTTGTTTTATAGAAACAATGTTCTCTACAGTTCATTTTTCTTATGCAATTTTTCCACATTAGGGACACAGACATTAAAAAGTTTGTATGGAGGAGCATAGTGATGATATTCTGGGTCCCCCGCGTACTTATATTAGATAATGGGACACAGTTCAACAGCGGATCCTTCAAGTCCTTCTGCAAGCATCTTGGGATCTGGAACTACTACTCCACCCCTGCATATTCGCAAGCTAATGGGCAAGCTGAGTCTTCAAACAAGATTATCATCAATGGAATCAAAGAGAGGGTTGGAAAAGACAAAGGGAAAGTGGATGGATGAGCTCTTGAACGTTCTTTGGGCATACAAGACCACTCCTCGATCCTCGACGGGAGAAACACCTTACGCCCTCGCATACGGAGTGGAGGCAATCATCCTATTGGAGGTAGGCCTCCCTACCATAAGAACACAAGCTTTTGACGCCGGGGATAACTGATTAGTAGTTAAAAATAGCATAACACTATGCATTTTTAGAACTAATTGTACTTTGATGAAGTTTAAATGATAACTTTTCAGGGCATAAATTGTACAAGGGACTTTCATGCAACACTAGAGCAAAAATTGGAAAAAGCTTGGACCAAGGCAAGAATGTTCGAACGCCAATCAACATTCGAACGTTACCTTAAATCATGTGAAGACTAGACTGCTGGGATATGGCGTGTTGCAGCCAAGAAGGAAGACCCAGAGGTACTTGAATAGCACGTTCGAACGTCAATTAACATTTGAATGTTACCATAAATCATGAGAAGACCATACTAATGTATGGAGTGTTGAAATGAACTTCGCAGAAGACTATAGGCCACTTGAGTGGGAAGGTCAAACTCCATCAGCATGTTCAAACGCCCATCAAACAAAGACGGAGATAACGTTCGAACGCTAGACAAAGTTCGAATGTTGTCCCCAGACTGGCTGCAGAGTTGTTGGCTTTCACTTGGACTTGGGTGGCATACACTATTTCTTCACACTCTCTTGTCCCCCGTCCTCCTTGCCTATAAATACTCCCCTTGTGAAAACTTTGAAGATGAGGTTTTTGGTAGGAAACTAGAACTTGGTTTGTAAAGCTTAGACTACACCAAGAATTAGTAGAAAGCTTAAAAGAGGCTTAAAATCCCACTTGTAGTTGTATAATTAGTCTTAGATTTAGTCTTATATTTACTTGTATCAAGGAAGATAGATCTTCTTTTGGTTGCAGTGGAAACCCTCAAAAAGTGACTAACTTTCTTCTACTTTCATTTATTGTCTTTCATTTCCATTGCTTGAGCTTTCTTCTTCCCTTAGAGGAGTGAAACTCGCACTACCCTTTGGCACCTTGGTCACGGAGATGTGCAAGGACCATGGGATCAGGGTGAGACTGAAGATGACCATATAGAAGCCAATGGGCCCACTAAACAAGGCTTCCTTCCAGAGGAGCCAAGGCCACAGTGGAGGCCCAATGGCCAGACAAGAGGTGCCCCCGACCCGTGGAGTTGACGAGGTGCAAGATGAGCTAGACAAGGAGGAGGAGAGAGAGTTGGATGCAGAGAGAGAAAGCAGACACATACATAGGAGGCAGGCCCTAGCACTAGCACCCCGCGATCGCTGAGAGAGATTATGCTTGACATTGAGACCAAGCAAGCTGAGATTCTCCGACAGCAAGAGGAGATTCTCCGTATTCTGAGGGGTGGGGCTGATGGAGCTGGCGGGGTTGGAGGAGAGTGAGAGGGAGATATTTCTATACTTGATTGTGGTTTAATGTAGTTGTTTCTTCTTTTATGAATGAGCTTCTTCTTTGGTAGTTTTGTGTGGATGTTAAAGTCTTTTTGTGTTTTGTCACTTTTTTGGTTGGATGGATTGAATCTTTGATGTTTGTATTAAACAATCATATTTTGTGAAAGGAATGGTTCAGTTTATCACTTTTATTTATTTAAATGCATGTGTAGAATTAGCATTATACTGTTATAAGTTAATGAATGATGGAACAATTGTGGATGCTAAGACTATTTGTTAAAGTAACTAATTTCATGATCGGTTCGACATATAACTTGGCAATCTAGACTTAAAATCATAGCTCCTTGAACAATGGTATTCTCTCTATGTTTAAATTGTTAAATGTACATTGGTATTTGTTATTCTTAAGGTACAAGATGATTAGACTCAAAAATGGAATCGATATATAACCGACATCCCCTGAAACACCCGACATAACCAGTGGAGATTACAAAAAGTATCATGGTAAGTTTTGAGCCTTGCGATACTTTTTGAGAGACAATCAACATTTACTCAAATAAGCTCTTTCACTCTCAATTTTTGAATAATCTCATTACATTTGCTTTGATTGATGCAACTAAAGCAATCTATTGACATATCCCACAAGGAACCTTTGCATAAGACACATATACGTGCACATATTTGAGAAAGGATCTTAGGTCATCTTTGATTCAATTTTGAGCTTGAGCCTTCAATGAATGATTTCTTTTTCAAGAAACCCATATGATAACCGAGCCACATGATTATATACTTGACATACCTTGCTATCTAATTTTCTTGCATCCTTTTATAAAATAATATGATACAGAAAAGCAAGAGAGATCGAAAAGACGATGGTGGCTACTGTTCAATGAAAGAAAAAATTGATGGGAACAACCGAGAAAGAAAAGAAACAGAAAAAAATAGGGAATTGTCAAGAAAGTGAAAAATGAGAAAAATGAAAGAAAAAAATACAATTTCTAGGCAAAAAATTGAAAAATAAGAAAGAGGTGTGCTACACTACATTAACAGGGGATATCTTTTGAATACCATTGACGTCATTTCGTTAGCCACTGACCTCTAGCCACATTACAACCTATACAAAGCCCTAATTGATCTCAAGTCTGATGCATGTGTGTGTTGTCGACCGAAAACTGTGGTGTGTTAAATAGTATTTTTTTAATTGAATTGATATTCTTCTATGAGATCATGCTAAGAACATGATTAGTCTACTCTATTAAAAATTTCACTCCCTTTCTAACTGTGCATGAGATTTTTCGATTGACTATCTTCTGATGACATGCCCTTTGAGAGACAAGTCACTATAATCGGAGCGAATTTTTGCTGAGAGCATTCTAAGAGAGGTTTGTGAAATCAAAACTATACGTGGAAGGTGGGAAAGTGAAATGTTTGTTATATAACAATTCTTGCTACTAGAATGATCATTCCTATTACACAGGGAATTCTAAATGCCAATGTGATTGATGCTAATTTTTGCATAGAATAAATACATATAAAAGAGGAACATGTGGGATATAAGTTGAAATTGAGGGTTGGGTGTCCCAACGACCATGATGCTAATTTACTTTAACCAGCAACCCCACATACACATTTGTTCGATTGAAGTTTGTGGGTAACTTCACTAAAAATTCTCATGAGACAACACTCATCCATTGGGATAAACCTAGTGATTCAACGACTTGTTGTATATGCTAAATACAACCAAATGACCTACGAAAAAAACATTAGAAATAGATTTGCATTCAGTTGTTGTTGTATTACTAGAGATTAGTAATATTTAGGTTGGAGGGTGTGATTAGTAGTTAAAAATAGCATAACACTGTACCTTTTTAGAACTAATTGTACTTTTATAGAGTTTAAATGATGACTTTTAAGGGCATAAATTGTACAAGGGACTTTCATGCAACACTGAAGCAAAAATTGGAGAAAGCTTGGACTAAGGCAAGAACGTTCAAATGCCAATCAACATTCGAACGTTACCTAAATCAAGTGAAGACTAGACTGCTGGGAGATGGCGTGTTGTAGCCAAGAAGGAAGACCTTGAGGTACTTGAGTACCACGTTTGAACGTCAATCAACGTTCAAACGTTACCATAAATCATGAGAAACCAGATTGTTGTATGGAGTGTGGAAATGAACTTCACAGAAGACTACAAGCCACTTGAGTGGGAAGGTCAAACTCCATCAACATGTTCAAACGCCCATCAAACAAATACGAAGACAATGTTCGAACACTAGACAACGTTCAAACGTTGTACCAGATTGGCTGCAGAGTAGTTGGCTTTCACTTGGACTTGAGCGGCATACACTATTCTTTCACACTCTCTTATCCCCCCTCCTCCTTGCCTATAAATACTCCCCTTGTGGGAACTTTGAAGAGGAGGTTTTTGGTAGAAAACTAGAATTTGGTTTGTAAGGCTTTAGACTATACCAAGAACTAGTAGAAAGCTTGAAGGAGGCTTAGACTCCCACTTGTAGTTGTATAATTAGTCTTAGACTTAGTCTTATA